CCTTCTTCTCCCTTAATACCCAAATCTATTTATTTATAAAAACAAACGAATTTAAACATAAAAATTGAATTTACCCCTCCAATGGGTAGATTGTAAATTGTTCTTTCGACAAGTAACTAGAATCTCCTACTATGCGTAGTTCAATTTTAGAGTCAAAATCACTAGTAATCATGAGTGAAGCATATGGTAGTGAATTTGTTCGAAGTCATTATCTTAATTACAAGAAAGAAGATGTCTAAAGGACAACATACAATCCCACAATTTTTTAGAGTTTTCTTAAAAGTTGAAAAAAATTTCAAAATATTTATGAAGCATCAAATGCTTGGTGTTGTAGGTGATTCAACTCCCCTAATTATTCCCACTTGACTTGTATCAAAACTCCATTTAATATGATTTGTGGAAAATAATGTTGTGTCATATCATATCTGCTTTCTTTGACTTAGCAATACCATTTTTATGATGGAAAATTGAACAATTTTATTAAGCTTTTACAAATTAATTTAAGAATGGAGATTTTTTTTTTTTATTTTTTTTTTAATTTTAAGAAAAGCAACATCTTAGAAACAAACAATAAAATATACGTGTAATCGTCTAGTCCATACTTATGCAATAATTTTATTTTTTTCACTTTACAAATTTTGGTCTTTTCGATTTTTATATATATACTTAATTAAATTTTAAAAGAAAAAAATTTAAAGAAAAAAAACTAGTTTTAAAAAAAATTGAAAATATTGCTTACATTTTTATAAACAAAAAAAGTAAAATGAAGAAAGAATATATGGAAGTATATAGGCTTAATTTTCAAAAGTAAAAGTAAAACGGATTTCAAACATATAGTCAAATGCTCTATTATGACTAATGAAACTACTTTACATGAGGACATCCTTAAATACATTTAACAAAATAATAATAATAATAATAAGGTTTTAAATCCTAAATAAACTAATTATATATTTAGAAAATAACGTAGAATAATAAATAAAAAGTCAGAAATGTATTTTAATGCTAACTGTTCAAGTTCCATAAGGCTCAATAGTAAATGTATTTCAATTTGTAAACTAATTTCTAACATTAAAGTATTGGTTTAATAAATAAAAGTTTAATTTTATTTATTTATTTATTTTTTAAATTCAAGAGTACATTAATACAAAATCGAAATTTAAGTCTTAATAAATAAAAACTAAACTTATATCTATTACATAAAAGTTAATTTTAATATTATAAATATGTGATACAAATTTATTAAATACAAAATTTTCTAATTTTATTAAATAAAACACTTTTTAGACTAAACTAATAAAAATACCATTTAATTTTGCATTTCTTCATATATATATACTTCTAAACTTTCAAAAGTTTCCATTAGATAAATATATATATAAATAATACTTTTAAATTTAAAAAAATTAAAAATACGGTTAAAACTTAAAAAAACAAAGAAAAAAAATCTCTATCCATAAAAACTATTAATATTTTATTTTAAAAATGTCCTTATTACTTTAGAAATGATTTCAATCAAATTTCATTAATACTCTAATTTATTTTAAACTTCAAAAATAATTTAAAAATAATTGAAAGAATAAAAAAAATATTACGTTTTTAAAATTAAAAAAAATCATCAAATAAACTAATCTTTTAATTTGATGGTCAGTTATTATTTAATTAAAATAATTTAGAGCCACCCGTGGGTGTGGGTCTGAACTCCCAATGAGCAGCAGCAAAGCAATAGGCGCACGGTAGTGTGAAGAAGTTGAGATAAGATAACGTGCGCTGAGAATCATAGTGGGCCCACGGTGGAACATCCGCTTGTGACCTTAAAACTTTCTCATGCACATGCACGATTCCCTAGGAAGACTAAAAAAACTGTTTTTCTCTTATTTTCAATTTTTTAATTAAATTATACAAAACTTTGATTCATTGTGACTAAAGTCATCACATTTTGATTATTTTATTTTTATTTATATTTCTTTCATTAAATTTTAAATATATTTATTTAAAATAAAAATTTACCGAAATTGGTTAAATTATAATGGTAATAATTTTCAATGAAAAATATATTTTATGAATATTTCACCTTTTTTCTTTAAGTAAAATGCTAATAGATATTATTCTTTAAAAAAAAAGTAAAAAATAAACTAATAAAATTGAATAATTGAAAGGAATGAAATTAAAATCAGATTAAATGTGTATTTTAAACTTTCGTACGCGTGAGTGGTGGAGCCCACGTGAGAAGGGGGTTGAAAAAACGGTAACTGCTTTCTCAACGGACGTTAGCCACACCGAAATAGGTTTTTCCAAATTAACGGTCGTTAAGGCCATGATTGACGGCCACAAAATTTCTCTCTTTCTGTTTCTTTCTTCGAGAAGTGTATTTCTATTTTGTTTTTATTTATATATTTTTTTCTGAAATTCGGTGGCCTTTAGATTCTTGGTGGGGCCCAGTGGCATCATCAACTTGTTCTATAGTGGATACAATTTTCTAATTATTATTTTATTTTATTTCCTTTTTTGTTATATTTAAGTTAAATATATATATTTTTTTGTTAAGAATTTTATTTATTTAGTCTTTACTACTGTAATAATATTTTAAAGTCTTATCATTCAAATATTTGACATAAATTTAAAATGGAAAAAACATCACTTAGAAATCAAATATTTTTATTCTTCCTTAAAATATATTTTTTTCATCGTAAATTTGTAATTTAAGAAGTGACCTACAAAAATAAATGAAACAAATTTACGTACAAGAAAGATAGGATTAGATTTGACTAGTCTCATAATTAGTTGACATGAACTTATTTGATTCGGTTCCCTCTCATAACTAGATACAAAAATACATATTATTTTTAGTATTGAAAATGGTTGTCCCTATTTTATTTGGTGTTAACCTTTAGGTTGGATGAGAAATTTATTCTATAGGAGGAGAATTATTTTTTATGAGAATAGTTTCATTCGATGGACTTGATCTTTTAGCTCCAAGAAGCAGATATATCTCTCAGGTAGGTACATTTGGTGGTAGGTGAGTTTGATAGAGAGGATGGTTTGATAGAGAGGATCGTTTGACATGGGTTCTTTTGTCGTTTTGGACTTTTTTAGGTCGCTAGTGCATAAGAGTCCTTGCATCCTAGGTGTCATGTAGTACCTTGTTCTAACCTTTTTTAGTTGGGTGATAATGTCCCTCATTCTCATACTCCTTCATAGTTTTGGCTTAGTGTGCGAGATAAACTACATACATGCGACTGTATTAGTTATTGATATTGGTAGAGTTGATTGTTGAGATCATTTATTTTTTTTACTACACCTTTAGCAAGTCTATTTGGTAGCATATTCTCTTGCGGAATAGTTTCTCCCAGCACAACGTTTGAATATATTCGTCATTTTAATGCAAATAACCGTTAAGTTTGCACACTTTAACAGTAGCATCCTCTTAACGTTTTATATATATATATGTTATAGAGAATAAATATTCTTTTTTTTTTCTTGTTTAAATCTCTATTTCATTTTAAATTCTCACATTTTTTATAACAAAAAAAAAAGAACTATTTTAATTCCAAAACTTTCCAAACTTACCACTTTAGTGTTGATCATGATTTTGACATTTTAAAAAATATAAAAATTTTAAAGTAATTATTATTATTTTGTATGTGTTTCAAAATTAAAAAAAAAAAAAAAGGAGAAAAAGGAATTTAAGAGAATCATAATTCTCACGTATGAAAGAAAATAATAAATTGGTAGGCTCGGTCCACGTAGGAGGCGCGTGTACAGTTTGAAACAGGGAAGGCGCCGAATTTAGGATGGTCCCACGTGATGCTTTTGCTTTTTTTTTCCACCAATCAATACATGCCACCTACTCCCCTTCCCTTACTCATATTTACGAAAGTACCCCCTCTTTTAATTTCATCCCATTTTAATTCTAAAAACAAAACAAAAATATTAGGGAGCAAAAGTTCATATATTCCATTCTTTAATCTCATCAAAATTTCCACATATTAACCAATCAAATACAAAAAATTAAATAAATACATTTTTTAAAGTTAAAATATATATAATTAAAAATATTTTTATTTAAGAAATTGATAAATTTGAATTAAAATTTGGCACTTTGAACAAATAAAATAAAAATAGAGAAAAATGGGAAATAAATTGAATCGGGATTTGGATACCGTGGATGTGGGGCGGTTGCCTGATGATGGACGCGACTAGTTGATTCCTTTTTTTTTTTTATTTTTTTTTTTTTAAATTCCTTTATTTATTTGTTTTTAAAATCAATTATTTAAACAGAAAAATAAAAAAGCCGTACCACTTTTCATGATCAGAAAGATTTTTTAAAACAGAAAAATTAATTGTATATTATATACCTAACGATACATGATTTGTATTTTAGTGCCTATTTTCTCATTTTATTTTATAATTGTAATTATCACAATCTTTCCTACTTTATCCAATTTCTAAGCTTTCAAAATCTTTATATTACATTTTAAAAATAGTTTAATAACTAATTTTTTTTAATATGAATAAAATTTTATGTCTTTTAATTTCGTATCTATGAATTCGTAATTTAAAAAATCACAAATTAAATTTATAACTTTAAAAATTTAAGAACGAATTTATTGATTTTGCTAAAAAATTTGATTGGAGGTAGGACATAATATTCCTCCAAAAAAAATTGTGAGAAAATAATAAAATTAAATTTTGGGATTACGATGACAATGGAATTCGATAAATTTGTATTTTTCATGTCATTAATTAATCAATTAATTTTGGAAGACGAGTCTAGGGATACACTATATAGCCTAGAGATTCAAAATTAATTAACTAATTGAAAGCTTAAAAAAACTCTTTATTTATTTATTTAATTAGTTATAAATATTAGATTAAATTGAGTGAACCTAATTTTTATGGACAAATTTGTAGAAATTAAAAAAAATAAATATATAAAACAAAATGATGGGCATTAGATTTAGGGAGATAGCAGTTTGAGGTAACAAAATTGTATAAGAACAGCTCAACAGCAGCTTCTGCTCTCTACTCCCTCTGATATGGCTTTTCATTTCCTTTGTTTCGCTTCTCATTAACAACTTTTTTGCTTCTTTCTCTCTCTCTTCTCTCTCTCTTCCCCTGAATTTCAGATACCCAAAAGCAAAACGATTACAGCCATGGGTTTCCTTCCAATACACCTTCTGTTTGCTTCTTTTCTCTGTTTTTTCTCTGTTCTTGTTTCTGGGTCTGGAAGGAATTTCCCGATTCTGGACTTTGAAGAAGGCTATAACCCTCTTTTTGGTGATGATAATCTCATCGTTCTCAAGGATGGGAAATCCGTTCATCTTCATCTTGATGAAAGGACGGGTGAGGAGGGGAAGCTTTTCTTTAATGGGGTTTCCATGGATTTGGGGTTTGAATATTCTGTTTCGTTTTGATTCTTCTCTCTGTTTGCTTTTTCAGGTTCTGGGTTTGTGTCTCAGGACCTTTATCTTCATGGGTTTTTCAGTGCTTCCATTAAGTTGCCTTCTGATTACACTGCTGGTGTTGTGGTGGCCTTTTATGTGAGTTTCTTCCTTCTCTGCTTATCTTGCCTATTTTAGAGGTTAATCTAATCAGTAACTGGTGGGTTTTTTATGGGAAGAATTTCAAGTTCTTGCTGAGAAATGATGGTGGTTTCATTTAGTTCATGAATTTGTTCATTCAACTTGGATTGAGTGAGGTTTGTGATTGTTTTCAGATGTCAAATGGAGACATGTTTGCGAAGAACCACGACGAGATAGATTTTGAGTTCTTGGGGAATATAAGAGGCAAAGATTGGAGGATTCAGACCAATATTTATGGGAATGGAAGCACAAACATAGGCAGAGAAGAAAGATATGGGCTCTGGTTTGACCCATCTGAAGATTTCCATGAATACGCCATTCTCTGGACTCAATCTCTCATCATGTAAGTTCTTCCTTCTTCAAATCCCATTAATGTTCATCGATGAGACGCAGTCCATTGTTTTGTAAAAACCACCTTTCCCCATTCCAACAGGACAGAGGGCTGTTTGGTTTTTCCCGTGAAAGGAAGAGAAAAGAACATGTGATTGATGTAGTATAACAATGTTGTTGGGAAAGTAGTTCATGTGTGATGGGGTTTTGATTCTGGTTGTGATTCTTTTGTTTAATTTTGATGTAGATTTTATGTGGATAATGTTCCAATTAGAGAGGTGAAAAGAAGAGCAAGAATGGGAGGTGAGTTCCCTTCTAAACCAATGAGTTTGTATGCAACAATATGGGATGGATCTAGTTGGGCTACCAATGGAGGGAAATACAAAGTTAACTACAAATACGCGCCATACATCGCCCAATTCTCCCACTTCATTCTCCATGGCTGCGCTGTGGATCCAACCGAGCAGTCCTCAACCTGTGACCACTCGTCCAAACCAATCCCTTCTGGTATGATCACACCATCTCAAAGAGCTAAAATGGAGAGCCTCAGGAAGAAGCACTTGACATACTCCTATTGCTACGACCGCATCCGCTACAAGGCCCCTCCACCAGAGTGTGTGATCAACCCCGAAGAGGCCAAACGACTCCGAGTCTTTGACCCTGTCACGTTTGGTAAAGGAACACGACGCCATCACGCCAAAATCCGCCACTACACCCACGCAGAATCCGCTTCTGCTTGAGCAGCAGCATTCTCTTGTGTATAGACGACGAGAGGGTGATAGAAGAGAAGAAGATGCATCTGTATAGTTCTTGTTTTTCAGTTCACACGTTTCATTACATTGATGGGTTGCTGGTTGGGATTTTACAATATTGTTTTGTTACAACACCCTCATAAATTTGAATAAAAGACCAAAAAGAACAAAAAAAAAAAAAAAAAAAAAAAAAAAAA